GATTACCCTAGAATTCGAAAACTTGGTGGCTAAGGAAAGGGTTTAGGAAACCCTAACCAATTTCGAAAATCAGGGTTCAAGAACCCTAATTTCGAAAATCCAAGCTTCCTAGGGTTTATTGGCCATAAACCCTAATTTTTCAAGTTCATACATTGTATAATACTAATTGAAAACAAGTTAACCAAAGGCTCTGATACCACTGTTGGTTTTTATACAGACAATCCTATGTGTGCATGCAACCCTATAATTGGATCTATGTTTTCACTATTAGATACACAACATTATGAACACATAAAGAAACCCTAATTCTAGCATATAAGTAATCATATTAACATAAGAATAGGTTTATAATATTACCTTGATTGTTATGTAGCAATAACAATCCCAAATCTCCTTGTATTGACTTTGGAAGGCTTAGAGTCACAAGTGTCACTCCTCTAATGGTTCACAAACACCAAGAGCAAATGGAGAAGGTATAAAGAGAGAGGAAAAGGGTAGGAATTCATCCTTAGATGCTCTAGGGATCAAGTCCACAAATTCTAAGGCCTTAGGGGTCTTTATATAGGGTTAGGATTAGGGTTTTAGTCCTTATCCTTATCTAGTTGCTTGCCCACCAAGCAACCATAAGATAAGCCTTGAAAACCCTTATTCTTTATCCTTTGGATGATTTCAAGGATCCTTATCTCCTTGAATTCGTTCAACCTATATTTAGGATAACTATTACCATATTTTGTAACTATCACATAATTACAATTCAGCCCCTCTAGTTTAATTAATTACACTTGATCACAAAATTAATTCTTAATTAATTATTGACCAATATTAATTAAACTAATATGATTTCTCCTTTAATATATTATTCTTATAACATATTAATAAATCATATTATCCTCTCTCTCTATATATTTCTCCAATCAAGTTGCTTTGGTGAAGGCAACCCAAAAGGACCATGCACCATCGGGTCAAGTACATACCAAAATAGTTATGCACTTAGACACTAATCCAACAAACATAACAATGATACCCGGATTACGATCCGAAAAGGGCCGACCTTGGTGCCTTTGACCCTGTCGATATAGTGAGGATAACTCACCTCGCGATTGGCGAAACTCTGAACTGAAGAAGCAGATTCTTGAATCACCGACTCACCGAAAGTCCCGAACTAGCCATCATAACAAAATAATCATTAGGCCAAACATACATCCACTTATTGGGCCAAGACCAAAGTCCAAATCTTCTACAAAGCCCAATATTGGCCTAATTTACTAAATTGGGCCCTCCTTACCAAATGGGCCTAGATCCAAGGTCCATAATAATAATTGGGCCCAAAATACTCTATTCATAAATTTCCAGTCATGGCCCATAAACCAACAGCCCAATAACAACCCAAACTCCAAGGCCCCAAATGGAAATCCAACAGGGGGAGTATGCTGGGCGTACCCTCCTTGGTACGTGGGGTGTACACGTTGATTCGCAGTTGGGGATCGGGGCACTTACTCTCTACGCGGGGCGTACTCATAGGTTACGCGGGGGATAACCTTGTGGCTCAACAAATTCATACAACTGCTTGATGGCTTAAGCTCTTAAGCCCAAACTTCATATCCTTAGGCCAAATATGCCTAGGATCCATAAAGTCTTGAACTATATCACCTGGGACGTCCGTAAAGCTCTTAATCTATGGTCTTAATCCATTAATACCTACTTATCTCACACATGGAACAACCACAACCCTTGGGACCTCATTTTTCTCACTCAAGACCTTTCCTAAGGTCTGAAAGGACAAATAATATTGACCAACTCGAAGCATGCAACAAGATGAGGACTTTTGGGACAAGAATGGTGTCAAAGCTTCACAATACATAGATCTACACAATATGAATGCCAAGCAAGAAGCTTTATACCTCAAATAGGCTCCAAAGGATGATGTCTTTCCAGATCTATAAGCTCCAATTGTTCCTCTCCTTCTTTGACAACTTCTCCTTTCTTCTTCTAGCTTCTCTTTTGCCAAAATAAGCTTTCCAAGACCAAACACACCCAACAATGGAGGTGGGACGACTATCTAGGGTTCTTGAGGTTAAGAGAGTGCTTATGGGGGCTAAGGAGGAAGCCTTTATGATCTTTATATAGTGGCTGCCCTTAAAATTAGGGTTTTGGAAGTCTGAGAGTACATTGGGCGTACTTTGACCATCACCCGTGTTTCTTTCCCTCACTACGCTGGGCGTACGTCCAACTTACACTGGGCGTACCCAACCAAATTCAAATACGCATGCATGGCATGCATGGAACCTCTTATTCTAATTTCCCCTTAGGAGCTATAATTGATATCACCTTCGAAACATCGTAACTCCTCTACTCTAAACCCGCTTCCGATAAACTTTATATTCACACGAGGGTGGCGAGAAGCCCTATGCTTCTATCAACACACACACACCAGTCCGAAGCCTTCTCGGATAAAACCCATTTCCCATAAAAGGACCAACATTACCTTTTCTCTTAAATCTCAGGGACTCATACATAATACTTTAAGAATGGGGAGTTACATCTCGAATGGGTGTAAACCGGTGGTTCGGTTCACTGTGGACCGGTTCAGCGGAAACCGGTTTAACGGTTCTTTGACCGGTTCGGATCTTGAACCGGTTTTTTTGTGCATGCCTACCCCTAGTCCTTCCCGACTTCACCTTGGAGGCGTAAACCCTAACCTACAAATTACAAGCATTTTAGTTTTGTTTGACTTCTTGATTGTGTGGTTAATGACGTTGAGATATCAGTGAGATTACGGCGGGATACTGGTTTGAAGACCTAGAAAAAATAACGGGTCTTCAAACCAATATTCCACCGCAATCTCACCAATATCCTGGGACGGGAACCGAAGCCGATTCAGTTTCCAAACATAGCTAAGCTCCGCTTCCAGCTCCATTTCTTTCTGGTTTGATCTCTTTAGAGGTTCGATCCCACTTCATTTTCTGAATTCTTTAACAGTTTAACACACGATTTCTTTTTTATTTTTTAACAGGTTAAATCTTTTCACAGGTTTGATTCCACCTCTCTGATTTTTGGTTTAATCTCTTTACAAGTTTAATCTCTTTGTGTTTATGATATGTAGGCAGTGCTGAACTCAAACAGGTCTGAAATCAGAATTAAAGAACTCGTTGTGCTCAAGTGCTGAACTCAAACAGGTCCAGGAATTGATTCATACAGAATTACAGATCCTCGTAAGCTTCTTTAGACCAAGTTAGTAAAATGTATATTTATTTACAACATTCATGTTTATGCAAATAAAGCTAAATGATGCTTTTAATGGTATCGTAAAGAACTTCACGATGCAATAACAGAAGAAGGTACATTATAGTTTCTAGATTGTTTCATTGATCAAAGATTTTTGACATAATTTATGGTACCGCTACTTTTGCGTTTTCACACCGCTTTTTCACAACTTCATCGTGGGTCTATTTAAAAAGTATCTTTCTTCTGGGCCAGCCCATCGGCTACTTTTTAGCCCAAAATATGAACGATGGTTTTTCTTTTACCTCAATCTCATCATTCACCGATCCAACGTTTTCTTTTTCCTTCTTGCGACTTCCCTCCTGTTCTTGCCTGATCGGCAAATCTCCACCAATAAATTGAGCGACCAAGGCTCTTGACCTCCGACTTGATAAGTAACATCAAAGTTGTCAATTCTGTAGGCTTCTCTTCCTATATCCTCTTTATGTGTTTCTTTGAAATTAACCTAGGGTTTATTTTCTGGATGACTTTATCATGAATTCTTTTGTTGCAAATCGATTTTACCTTGTAGTCGTGCTACTGCTCCTCGTTTTTTGGTCGATTTCAGGTCATCCTGTTTTTGTTCTTTATGTTTTGGTGTACTAATGCATCGCACGCTGTTATCATTCAAATTGCCAAGTTTGATTCTTTAATTGGGGTTTAACCAGGAATATGAGGTCTTACATTGGAACTTAGACACCCTAGGCCAATTACCCTTGTGATTGTTTGTTAGCTTTATCTATCCGTTCTGTGTATAGAGTTTAAATTATGTTCTTTAAATGGGTTATATTCTCCGTTGGAATTAGGGTTTAGAGGGTTTATGATGTTTTCCAGTGACTTTCATAACTGAAGTTGCTTCTTTCAGTTGAGTATTGTCGGATGTTTCAGACTAATCTACTTTCAACTTCTTCTCAATCTTGACACTTGCAATGGTCTCAAGATAAGGTTATTCGTATGCCACCATGATTCCCTTTAAGAGTTTAGTAGCGGATCCTAACCTAGCATTGGTACCTGTTGTGTATTTTAAGCTAGTTGATCCTTCATAGTGATGCAACAATGATAAATTCAACTAACACGATGCTTGCATCATATATATATCTAACAACATTGTTCTTTTGATATTTAAGCTCCTAAATCTTTGGTACTTCTGAGCATGCAAGTTTGTTAGTTGCAAAGACTTGCTATTGCAAAACTGCTATTACTTTCCATGATATTAGCATTACTTGAAGCGTACATGTGTTTAATAATATGGTTTACCTGAAGAACAGGTAGAAGGCAAACCTGGTTTTCAAATGACATAGCAGCAGATCAAAAATGTATAAAGTTTTATAAAATTGGAACAAAACTGAATCTTGAGTTGTAAAACCTCTTAATTAGGTTGGAATAAATCTAAAACTTGGTTACTGTTTAATGACATTGTCCCTCTGAAAAAAAAAAAATAGATGCCTTAAATACCTTAAATCTTGATAGGGAAACACCTTATAATGATAAAGTACCAAGAAAAAAAAAAGTCTTACATGAACAAAAATTCTAAAAAGTTTGTAATTTTCTCATTTCCTTCACTAGAGATCTGTAATCTCTAATCATCATATTCTCCCTCTTCTTCTATATGCTCCTCTTTCAATAGAAGCTTTGACAATTGCTCAATTAGGTTATATAGGTGCCTTCAGTGACTTGTTCTCATTATTTTTAAATCCTTTTTTTTTTTTTTACAGGTTTTAGTTACATAAAAGAGGAGGATGAATTTTGCAGCTTCTTTGTGTAAAAGATTAACTGTTAGCAACCTGGTTACAAAAATTCCTGTCTACAGTTCTGCAAGAGGTACACCTCTTATAACCCTTTAATTTATTTATTTATTGTCTTTCCATCATCTTCTTTTAATTGTGGTAACATTTTTTATTAATTTTAACTGAATGATAGATGTAACTGGAGATGGATTAAGCATGATATTCAGACGTTGGGCCACCAAAAAAACAGCAGGGTCAACAAAAAACGGACGTGACTCAAAACCCAAGATGCTTGGTGTCAAGAAGTTTGGTGGCGAGGTTCAACTAAAATTCTAAATTCATATTAAATATTTAAATCATATGTTTTGTTTATTTATTTATATTTATATTTGGGAAATACAGAGAGTGGTACCTGGGAATATCATTGTGAGACAAAGAGGGACTCGTTTCCACCCAGGAGATTATGTAGGAATGGGAAAAGATCATACACTTTATGCTTTGAAAGAAGGGTGTGTGAAATTTGAACGCCATAAGCTTAGTGGACGCAAGTGGATCCATGTTGAGCCCAAAGAAGGCCATGTACTTCACCCAATTTATGTGAAAGGTGCACCAGAGTCAAACACCACATCTTAGGTTGGCCTTTTTTCTAAAAAAAAAAATTATAAATCATGTTTAATTAGTTCAACTTGAAAGGTTTTTAAGTTTCATTTTGTTGACCTTTTGAATTTGGATCTTTTATTGAATAATTCGTTGAGTTTTTGTGGGAAATTGTCAATTGCTTGCAAGTTGGCAAGTGTTTACTTCAATTGGTCTTTTACATAGACAAATCACTAAAGATGTCTAAACATGTTTTATACTACTATACTTTATGCTAACAAACAAGTAGCAAAAAGATGTTCAATAGATTCAACAGTTTCATCACAAAGTGAGCAAATGAATGAGAGAATTATCCAAACCTCTATTGTTGAATTGAGTTTTTGTAGGTAATCGATTTAAGTTAGTTTGCCACCCTAAAATGTTTAATATAAAAGGCACAAATTTGTTCAACCTTGTAGAAGCATCTCTACTAGCAAGAGTTGGAAACTTGATACATTGCCTTGTAGAACTGACCAAGAATCCTGTTCTCTTTTGAGACGAAATGTGTACACTTTATTGTTGAAGATGAATATCAAACAACTCATGTGTGGCGTATATTAGACGGTTTACATTTTGTTCATTTGAATATGTAGAAAATAAAGTGTTAGATATGCTAAATTTGTTTTGTAATCATGTTCTCTTTTTACAAAATTTTATTGTTTAAGATGAATATTAAAAAAACTCATGAAACCTTCCAAAAAACCTATAAGAACCGTTGTTTACTATTTTGAATATAACCGGAGTGCCAATTGGACAGTTTGAATTGAACTATATAGTTTGAATATTCGAATTTGTATATTGGTTTCGACTAAAACTGAATTATTATTTTGAATATTATATGTATTTTGGTTACTAAAACGAGAATAGGATAATTAAAAAAAACTGATTTCTTATTTATTTATTTATATTTATGTTTTTAATATATTTTTTATAACTAGTTATTATTTATTAACATTTTTTTACAAATTGCTCCATTGTCTATTTGAATTAAGCAATTCGGGCTTGTTAGCATGTAATTTATATATTGTGTTGTACTGTTTTTAAAAACCAAATTGTAAAAACCGTTGGTGCAACTGAATTATGAATGAGTTGGTGCGTATGGGATATATACTTAATTCAAACTATTCAGGTTAATTTAAAAACTGAAATCAATATGGATTTACTAAATCGAATTAAACCTACCCATTCAAACGAACATTCCTACCCATAAGGTATGTGTCAGCAAAAGAGAAAGTTTACGATTGTCATGAACACGTGCTTTCGTCGTACATATACGTATAAGGGCCCACACAAAGATATATAGAGTTAATGAAAACCGTCTTGTAGGTTTACCTATAAGAGTAGACAAACACGTACATTAAACATTGATAGTCAATTATATGTACGGAGCCCGCAACAACTTGTTTTCATCTTGTCCACATACAGCCAAAATTGAATGAGCAAAGCTTTTCCTTGAAACAATACAAGTAGGAGTTTGGGATGGATAAGTTATAAGTCGTGAGTATTTGGTTTGGGTTTTTGTTTAGGTTGGCCATATACAGGCTGTCGCCATGCTTCAACTTTGTTAAATTTCAATGCTCATGTCAAGTTTTGTCTGTATCCATCTTTTTGGTACCTGTATACATTAATGATTAATTTGTTACTTGCTGACAAAATAACAACCGGATATATTTAACATTTATAAATATATTGATATTGTTTGGTTGATAAAAACATTAAAATGTATCTTGATAGCATTTTAAAAATCATTTCTTTAAATTTGAAAATCCAAATCAGATAGGATAAAAATTAAATTCTTGTTGATCATAATGGCCTCCTTGGTGAACCGTGTTTTGGATCTAAAATAACAATCCTATCTATTTTTCGAGGATCTCGTGGCAAAAAAATATTATTTAAAAAACTAATCCATTTTTCACTTTATACGTACTATGGGTTACCCTTTTTTATATTAGTTTCAGTATAAAGTTTATATAAGTAAGACTTAAAACTCATATATTAATATATCTTTATTATATAGGAAATTGATTTATAACTTTTAATTTTCTCAAAAACCAACATTAATATCGAAATAATTTTTTAGTAAAATACAAATTCTATAAACCAACATTAATTTGTGATTTTAAAATTGAAATTTTTGGATGGATAAGGAAAGGGCAGCTTGAAAATGGAATTGGAGATTGATTTAGAATTGAGGAGATAGTAATCTAGGGATGTCATTTTAATTACACTATATTTATTTGAAATTTCTGTAACTTTTCAAATGTTTTTAGGAATGATCGTAACATTGTTCATTTAACACTAAAATTTGTCAAAATCGAAACTCGGCGTGAAAATTGAAATTTTGTGATAAAAAAAACCATTACTGTTAAATGAACCATTAGCAACTTTTCTAATTACTTTTGTTCTAAATTGGTTGTATGTCATATGACAAACAGATTTTTATTTGTTATATTAGATGTACAAACAACCCATAAAAATTCGCCATATATATATATATATATATATATATATATATATATATATATATATATATATATATATATATATATATATATATATATATATATATATATATAGGGTTAGGTTCATTTGAGACCACCTATATTTTGTGAGACCGTAAGACGCATTTATTTATTTATTTTTATTTTTTTTTAGTTAATTCATGTTCTGAAAATAATATTTAAAAAAAGAATTTTTTGATTTTTCTATTTATTTTGCATTTTAAAATTATTTTTAGAATATGTGCAGTGTAATATTCTATTTAGAATATTTCACGTATTTTTAAAAAAAAAAAAGATTTTTTTTAAATTTTTTTTAGTTAATTCAAGTTCCGAAAATAATATTTAAAAAAAGAATTTTTAGATTTTTCCATTTATTTTGCATTTTAAAATTATTTTTTAGAATATATCAGTGTAATATTCTATTTAGAATATTTCACGTATTTTTCAAAAAAAAAAAAAAAACGGAATCTTTTTTATTTTTTTTTATATTTTTTTAGTTAATTCAAGTTCCGAAAATAATATTTAAAAAAAGAATTTTTGGATTTTTCCATTTATTTTGCATTTTAAAATTATTTTTAGATTTGGTCTAATGGTCTCACAAAATTAGAATGGTCTCAAATTATTTATATATATATATATATATATATATATATATATATATATATATATATATATATATATATATATATATATATATATATATATATATATATATATATATATATTAAACCGGAATAAAAAGAAACGAAAGAACTCCTACAAAACAACCTGAGGAGTAGATTTAGGGCCTTTTCCTCCCAATTATTATTGATCTTTTGATTGGGATTCATCCCCATGAATCAACCCATTTGCCCCTCCACCCGACGTCGGCCCATCCTCATAGCTATAAAAAATATTGTATTTGATTTTGCTATATTTACGTTTGTGTGTATGTTTATTGTTGTGATATTTAATTTTATAAATTAAAAACAGTTAATATCGATAAACCATGAAAGATTTTATAACTAAAACGAATCGCTAATTTGTGGCTAAATATGTTTGCCGTTAATTTGTCGGTTTGTGGTTGTTTAATGAGTGTAAAGTGTCAAATCAACGATGTATATTTTCATCGTTAAATTGGGATGTTCCATAACTAATCTTGTCGCTCAAAAATTAGTAACCAACGTATACTCACAGGATAATTTTATGATCCGTTTCATGAATTTGGTGATGTCTGAACTCCTTTTTTGTAGTGTTAATTGGTTTTATATATATCGCTCTTTATTAAAACTTAAATATGATAATTCACTGTCAAGTTTAAAAGTATCATTAAAAATTCGAATGCTACTAATGGTTTTTTTTTTTTTTTTTTTTGGGAGAAATCCACTAGAATATAGATGACTGGAATGGTGGCCAATCGCCAATTGGTGTGTTCTTTGTAGAAAACTAGCATGTGAAGAAGTTGAGAACATAAAAGAAACCACAAGTTGATTAGCTATGGTAGCTGTTAGGTATAGCATATGGTACTTTATTGTTTTAATTATTCGACTATATGTATTAGAGTAGTTGTTGACGAAATTTAAGTTAAGTTTCCAAAGCAATCACTCATAAAGAAAAAGGCATATATGGAGAACAATTGAAAAATGCAACTAGGTTAAAAGTAAGAGATTATAAGGATAATTTTTAGACTAATTGACAACAAATAATCTTAACTTTTCAGTTTTGGTCTTAATTAGTTTCGGCATTTGTATAGTTTGTCTGGTTATACTACAATATAGTCTTGTATTAGTAGTTGAATTACTAGCCTTTGACTTAACATATTCCTTGTGGGAGACCATGACGCTAATTTTTTTTACCATGCCTTCTAGAAAAGGTATTATTTAATCTTAGGAGTTGAAGTAAATGGTAGTATTATTTTATTAATGCTAACATCAATGCATGTAAGAGTCTCGTACCAAAATAAAAAGGGATAATGACTTGAAAGGGTAACGAACTTTTGACTTTTGTCACATTTAGTCACTAAACTTTTTTTTATTATCTATTTGCCATTGAACTATTGAAACTGCTCACATTTTACCCTTATGACCGGCTGTTACCGGTCATAAGGGTAAAATGTGAATAGTTTCAATAGTTTAGTGACAAATAGATAACGAAAAAAAGTTTAGTGACTAAATGCGAACAAAATCGAAAGTTCGTTTCCCTCTAAAAAGTTCAATGACTAAATGTGAACAAACTTCCTATTCCTATTGTATTATGTTTTAGCAAAAATATTTATTTTTGTTTAATTGTAGCAACATTTGTTGATGATGAAATCTATGAAATAAAAAAACAAAATGTAACATCCGGATTTCCAGGTATCATAATTTAAGTATTTCTCTTTTGAGTTAAGAAGAGAGACTCGACGAGTTGACGCCTCAACTCGTCGAGTAAGGTCGCGACTGATAACTCAGATTAATGAATAGACTCGACGAGTCGGTGAGGCGACTTAACGAGTCCACACTGTTGGCAGAAACCGTAAATCTTTGGGCCCGAGCCATATTTAAAGACACTTATGGCCTTCAATTGCGACTACCTTTCTCATAAGTGAGAACCCTAGTGAGCTTGAGTGTGTAGAGTGAGAGGAAGAACTATCTTGAGCTTTTTGGTGTGATAGATCTGGACCCTTCTAGGTCTAGAGAGCCAAGAATATGAAGCTTTAGCAGAGTAAACCTTGGGGTTCGAAGTTAGGAAGAATAACCTTAACCAACAATGTGATGAAATAAAATGATGAGAGATAGGTGATGATAGAAAGGTGATGATAATTAGGTAAATAGATGATGATGAATATGTGATACAGGATGAAACCATAACCTTAACCAGCAATGTGGTGATGTAGTAATCCACCAGAGTATAGATGACGACCACGGACTATTCTAGACAACCTAGTGGAAACACCAGCAGGCCCATAACATGTAGGTGATGAATTACGATTTCAAACGATGTTGTAACTACGTATTCATGCGATGATACTCTAACCCCTTACTATGAATTACGAGTTCAGACGATGTTGTAACTACATATTCATGGGATGTCACAAATTTCGCATGCCAAACCAATGGTCATAATTCACATCAGTGAGAATGGTTCATTTTTTTGTAAACCAAAATCAGATTGGAATTTTTGATTTTTTATTTTGGAAAATGTCAAACCATTGGTTTTTTATTTCGGTTTTGGTTTTTTGTTTTTTTTTTAAATATA